TATATATATATATATATATATATTACCATCAATAATAAGAATATATTCTAATAATAAATATTACAAATTCTTACTTTAAATTTAAAGCCCACATAATAATACTAATACCATAATATAATAACTCTACTAATTTTAATATTTCAATTGTAAATTATCTATTCTTGAATCTTTTTTTGTTTTTAATGACTTTTAATGTAATATGACATTTGGAAAACCTTATGTTGAAGCCCTGCTTCATCTATAACAAACATAACCAACCTTACAACCTCAAGAACTATATATAAATTCACAATTATTGTGGTCAAGAATATTTTATATATGAACATGTAATTTATAATATTTAGTCACTTTTGCCCTTTTTTTGTTCATTTTGCATACTAATATCAATTTGAATGACGGTTGACTTTTTTTTTAAAAAAAAAAAGTGTTTTTTATCAATAGTTCAACTAAAGAGGAATCTTAATAAAACTTCCAATTTTAAATTATATTATGTAAATTAAAACTAAAAATAATTGACAAAAGTTATTCGAAAAAAACTAAAATGACAAGATGCGTTCTCGTTTTCCTCAAAAAAAAAAAACATGGAGTTTTGAACATTGAATCACTCATACACGCATAAACTCCATCTAAGAAGATAAAAAAATTGAAAGAAATTGTCAACGCCCTATTTTTTATGAATTATTTACGTTGACTGAATCACGAAATCTCCCTAATACCGGACAAGGATTTAGAATTCCAAAAGAGCACAAACCACAAATGGCATATATTTAAAAAAAAAAAAAAGGCATGCATATTTGAACATAATAGTATATGCAAATACATAGGAATTGGGTGGTATATATGTAAATGCCCCCGTCCGTGACATACCAAAATAATTATAAGTCAAACAATAAATGTGAAAGAGTTGTGCTGGCGTCATTGAAAACTATAACAGGCTTTAAGTACCCACCCCACAAACACCGCGGCGGCAAGCAAAGCCACGCTCCCACGCGCTTCCGTATACTCCAGCACGGGTTTCCCCTTTCCCCCCCTTCCCCATCGATAAAACCCAAACCGACGGCGTCAAAAATCCAACTTTTCAGAATTACCATGTCCTCCCTTCGGCGATTCTCCTTCACCGCCCCTCTCCTCTCCCTCCTCCTCCTCTCAGCCCTCTCTTCCGCCTCCTCCTCCTCGCCGGAGATCCTCAACGCCTGCCAAGCCACTCGCAATCCCGTCTCCTGCGCCGACCGTCTCTCTAATTCAACTCCTCCCCTCCCCCCCAATGCCACTGCTTCCGACATCATTCTCACCATATTCAACACCTCCCTCAGCGATCTCCTCACCGCCCGCTCCGCCGTTCAATCTATCCTCGATAACTCCCCCTCCGACCTCAATCGCACCAACGCCGCTCGCATCTGCCTCCAAGTCCTCTCCTATTCCACTCGCCGCCTCTCCGCCGCAACATTCTCCGATCTATTCTCTCCCGATTCTCGCGCCTGGGCTGGAGCCGCTCTCCTCTACCAATACGACTGCTGGTCCGCTCTCAAATACGTTAACGGCACCTCTCAGGTCGCCGCCGCAATGACTTTCCTTTCCGAACTCAGTAATCGCACCAGCGACGGCCTCTCTATGCTTGCCGCGCTCCACCGCTACGGCCCCAATATCACTCTTTGGGGTCCTCCACAGACCGAGCGCGATGGCTACTGGGATCCGCCGTCTGTAATTCCGGCGATTGGGGTCGCCGGTGGGGTGCCGGTGGATCTGCGGGCGAACTCCACAGTTTGTAAGGACGGCGAGTGCGATTTTAAGACGGTGCAGGAGGCGGTTGATGCGGCGCCGGCGAACCTCTCCGGCCCCGGCAAGCGATTTGTGATTCGGATCAAGGCGGGTTTGTACGATGAGATTGTGCGGGTTCCGTTCGAGAAGACCAATTTGGTATTTGTGGGGGATGGTATGGGTAAAACCGTCATCACGGGTGATCGTAACGCCGACCAGGTTGGTGTTACGACCTACAGCTCGGCCACCGTCGGTAAGTGGCTATAGTCAGTACAATTTTTTATTTATTTGTTTTTTTTTCTTTTTCTTTTAGATTTTATATTTTTATTTAATAAGATTTTTATTTTCTAAGAATTTGGTAAGAATGTATATATATATATATATATATATATA